TGAATTCTCCGCTGAGTTGGCGGTGAAGGCGCGAAAGAGGAATTGTCTTTGTTTCATGGCTTTGACACCAAGAGGGGCCCCGAGTGACCGTTGGCCAGAGGGGGGCCCATGCTGCCCAAATATAGCTTCAGGGGGGACGCAGAAACTGTCGTCTCTCGTCATTAAAGGCTACTGTTGTTGCTGCAACTCCTGCTGCTGCTCTTGCACCTCCTGCTGCTTATCTGGTGGTAGCTGCTGCTCGTGCTGCTCCAACTTTCCAAGCTGCTGCTGCATTTCCATAAGGTATTTATATCGCTGCATCGCCGCCTGTCGCTCTCCATCGGCAATCAGCGACTTTGCAAAACTGGCATGAGACAGAGTGAGGTTCGCTGCCGCTGCTCCTGAAGCAATATTTGCTTCTTGCCCCCCCCCCTCAAGCCTCTTCTCCGTTTCCGGCTGTTGCTGCTGCTGCTGTTGCTGCTGCTGCTGTTGCTGCTGCTGCTGTTGCTGCTGCTGCTGTTGCTGCTGCTGCTGCTGTTGCTGCTACTGCTGCTGCGGTTCCCTTTGGTGCTGCTGCTGCGGCGGCTGCCTTTGCTGCTGCTGCTGCTGCTGCTGTTGCTGCTGCTGCTGTTGCTGTTGCTGTTGCTGCTACTGCTGCTGCGGTTCCCTTTGCTGCTTCTGCTGTTGCTGCTGTTGCTGCTGCTTCTGCTGCCGTTGTTGCTGCTGCGGTTGCAGCAGCAGCAGCAACAGCAACCGCAGCAGCAACAGTTGTTGCTGCTGTTGCTGCTGCTGCTGTTGATGCTGCAGTTGCTGTTGCTGTTGCGGCACTCCAGAGACCGAAGGAGCATCCGCCTTGCCAACTGACGGGGACGAAGGGCGCTTCCCCTCTGCAGCAACGCTGATCACGCACCTGTTTTTCAGCTTCACCTCCCCTGCCTCCGACGTTGGCATACGATCTGCAGTGCAGGAAGAACGTGCTGTGTGGATTCGCATGCATATTGTGCATGCAGCGAGCGTGCATGCGCTGGAGCACTCCGGCCTTCGACAGCCCCAAATATGTGAAGCTTCGGCGCCTTGCCACAACCGTTAGCTGCTTTTCAGACTTCCTGCCTCACCGAGATGATGTCCTGCATGCTTGCTCTCTGTTGTATTTCTACCCGTACTAGTTATATGTATGTAAATACATGTAAATATACAGAATGTACATGTATTTACGTACAAAATATATGTAAATATACATAATACATGCATATATATATACATATATAATATATATATATATANATATATATATATATACAACCAAAACAAAAAGGACAGTATATAAATGATTCAAAGCACAAACAAAAGGAAGCACAGGCAAGGACAAAAGGGGACGAAGATGAGCAGAAAATGTGGCAGAGACAAAGAAGGCAAACCGTTTGCTTCTAGCCAGACAAATACAATGCTGTCCCCTCATCAGCATCGCAGTTCTTGTGACTGTCAGCTCCCTCCGCGCTGTTGTTACCTTGCTGCAGCACATCTCCGTCCGCTGCTGTGCCTGGCGCTGCGGCTGCTGCTGCAGTGTGCCTTTCTCTGCAACAGGTTCGTCTTGCGTTCCGTCTTTGGCAACAGCAGCAGTAGCAGCAACAGCAGAATTCTTCTTTTGCTTTAGTCCAAAATTCTCTGGGCTGCAGTTGGCTCTCGTATCTGTGGCATCGTCACAAGAAGCAGAAACAAAAAGCGTTCCTCCTGCTGCTGCAGATTGCGTCCAAATAACAGAGAGCGATGACCAAAAAACACAACAAATGCATACAAACAACAAGAATAGATGCAAACAAACATAATCAAAACAGAAAGCAAAAACAAAAAATAAACACAAATAACAAGGAAAGAGAAATACAATCACACAGCAAGGAACAATGCAGACCAGTAGCAACAGCAAAGACAAACGGATCCCTTTAACAAACAGAAGCAAACACAAACAATTGGAAAGGACAAATGCCGACAAAACGCAACACGAAGCACAAGTACATACAGGCAAACGAAGACAAATGCCAACAGTGCGCGAATAAAGGTAAGCACAGACCAGCAAAGCTGAAGCAAACGGCTGCAAAGAGTCAAGACAAATACTAACGAATACAGAAAAATACGAAAGAATAAACAGGGCAAACAGACAAAAACAAACGAACAACAGAGGCAGGTAAGAAAAAATGACAAAATCAACCACAAACAAGCAAAAGCAAACAACGACAGAAGCAAACAAGCATAGGGCACACTTCTCATCCGTCTTAAGCTCATAGGTGGTCACGGCATGCAGCCATTTGACAGAATCAAGAAACGCAAAACACCAAGAGCAGAAACCCACGGGAGAACAGCGCAGCACAAGGTACGCTCCACTTCTAGTTAGCAAGTGCCTTTTGCTGTCCGGCAAAGGTCATGAGAGAAGCGCCTTTCTGTATTTTGCCTCTCGGTGAACCGCCGACGACTCTCCTCCAGCAGACGATTTCCTTCATATGCACCCTTGCAACAGCCTAAGCAAGGATGCATAGCATCAGCAAGCAAGTGTAGGCGATGTTTCTGCCTAGGTGACTGAACGTAGCTAAGACGAGCTACCAAAACAACAGCACTTGGATTTTTCAGACAGAATTTATGCATGCACGCGTGCATGCATGGGCGTAACTAACAACCAACAACAATAAAAACAACAACCCGCAACAACCAATCATCCCTGTTGCTGCTGCTGCTTCTTCTGCTGCTGTTGTTGCTGCTGCTGCTGCTGCTTCTTCTTCTGCTGCTGCTGCTTCTTCTTCTGCTGCTGCTGCTGCTTCTTCTGCTGCTGTTGCTGCTGCTGCTGCTTTTTCTATAATGCATGCATGCAAATATTCCCCGTTGAAATCCACTCCTTTGCTGCATCTCTGCAGCAGCCCTATCATCTGCATGCATGCATGCGTATATACACTGGTGGGGTGTATATATACCTGCCGCCTTGGCGGTGAGCAGCAGAAATTAATATGTTTAAGGTAGAGGCTGCATTAGATATTTTCTCTCTACATCTACATTTATATATATATATATATATATATATATATATA